TTATATACCATAAATAAAGTGTTATGTGAAAGTAAGAACTGAAGAGAGCTATCAAAGAAAACAAATGTAAATGTAAAAATAATGTAAAAATATGTAAATGTATGATGTAATATGTAATGTAAAATGTAGAAATAAAATTTCTAGAATTTAGAAAAGGTGACCTTTAATTTAAGAAATATTTGTATATATTGTAGAAAGGGTTATCTTAATTTTAGGGCGCCTTGCCCTGGGGCTTAGAAAAAATCGCCATAAAATCAAGACATTTTTTCCTTAGTTTTAGAAAAGTACTTTCTAAAACCTAGAAAAACAAACCCTAAATTTAAGAAATTTTTTTCTATTTTTTAGAAATTTTTTTCTTATTTTTAGGGAAATTGGCCTTAGATTTTAGAAAGGAAACGCCATTAATTTTAGAAAAATTTACCCTAAATTTAAGAAATTTTTTTCTATTTTTTAGAAATTTTTTTCTTGTTTTTAGGGCAATTTTCCTTATATTTTAGAAAGGAAATGCCATTAATTTTAGAAAAATTTACCCTAAATTTTATGGTGCGGTGCCGTTGAAGACAAAAATAGGGCGAATTTCTAAATCTTAGGGTTAATTTTTTTTTGAGTGTGTATGAGAATGTGTGAGGATAAACAAAAACCGAATTAGTCGTGAAAAGCAGAGTGGCAAAACATTTATTTTTTCTTTTTGGTCATTTTTTTTCCCCTCTGCTTTTGCTTTTACCAAGCTTCTCAGTTCTTGCCTTGTCCTTTTGGCCAAAAAGCCACAAAACCTCAACGGCTTTCAGGCTCGGACAGCTGCTGTTCACTTTCCCCGCACACTGACGTTACTTTCCAGTCAAATAGAGTGTCTCCCCCCCAAAAAAGGAGTCATCAAGGATAACCTTCTCTCCTTCCCAAATAAAAAAAAACCAATATAATAAGAAAGTAAGAAAAATTAAAGCCAATAACATTATTTCCTGCTGTTTGGCAATCAAAATCACGTCAAATTCCAAAACTCCCGCAAAGTTTGAGCCTGTGTTTATGCAAATGGTTTGAAACTAATTTAAGGTTGCCATGACAGCCGAAAATTAATTCAAATTGAGTGATCACCATAAAGCCGACAAGCACAACAACAGCATCCGCAAAGGCCGTAGTTTTCATCACGCACGGACACTGGACAAAGGACACAGGGTAGAGGATACCGGACACTGGGTAGCGGGGACAATACTGCATGGACCACGAACCACAATCCAATGCCAGTCTAATATATGCCGCAATATATATTCCATAATATATTCAATTGTGCGGCCCAGACCGGCACTCACAGATGGAGTTAGCAGTTACCAGTGCTGGTCGGATGGAGGTCACCTGGTTCAGTGGGTCAGGTGGGGTCACGTAAACAAGAGAAGCACAGCATGAGAATGGCATAAATAAAACACATCATTCAAAAATTCAGCGAGTTATTCTATTTTATGGCACTCAGTTGACTGCACTTAAGCACTCAAAAGATTAAAATGCTTTTATTACCAATGCAGGAAAAGTTTTAAAGGAACATTACCTTTCTATCATTAAATTAGGGATAATATAAGATAGGGACTAATAATATTATATCCTGGGTATAATTTCCAGGACATTATATTCATCCCACAATCCAAAATAATCAACTGCCGACAAACAAACTATTTTTACAAGACGAATTATTCCTTTTGTCGTCAAAGCACATCAATCGCTCACATGACTGGTCCTGTCTATCCAAGGACTCGTCACTAGACATTATTGATTTCGGCCAAACGAACTGTGCCCGGAGTGTCAAAATGAACTTAACTGTTGCTATTGGCCAGCTGCTCGTCCTGCCATCGTACGTCCAAAGAAGGACATAGCCTGACATCTTCCAGGAAACATTTGTCAGGGGGTCTGATTCTGTTTCGGATTCTGTGTCTGCCTCTGTGCCGGTCCAGCAATTTGTGTCACGCACAGAACAGCGGCAGGACCTGCGACAGTTTCGGTTACACAAACCCAAGGCTGCCATGAGGTATCCCTGGAATCCCGCCCAGCTGGCCGATGATAATCAGTCAAGCTATTGAGCCTCCGTGACTTTTGTCATCATCATAGAGGGCATAGGGGCCTGTCTATCTGTGTTCCTCCACTAGTACTTCAGCTCGCCGGTCACGTCGCCGAAAGTCGCTATTTTTGTTTGATTTATTTACCTGGATTCGGCAACTGTTAACTGTCATCTCCGGGCCAGCTATTCGGTCATTATCCCAAAGTCCTGGCCCTGACGATGATCATGATGACGATGATGTCGCCAGCCATGTGTGTGCATTTGAAACGGAATTTGGACAGCAGGAACAGCAGGATATATAGCAGCAGCTGTGTCGATGTTGTGGACTTGTTTTTGTGCCATTGGTTGCCACTTTCCACTTGCCACACACATGCCAAAAATTTCTAAGCATCATGCCCCACTGACTGTACCAAAGGGACATCAGGTGAGTGAGTGACTGGAGTGAGTGGCTGACTGGGTGGATGGCTGGCTGGGTGAGAGACTGATTTTTTTGCGCTGTCCAGTGTCTTGGTTATCCACTGACATGCATGTGGGTTTTGTGGCTTTACGTACCACACGGCGTATGCGTGCTGTCGTCTATTTGTTATGCTCTTTTAGGGCGCAAATTCAATTTGTATCCTAACCTCACCGGCCGCAGATGTTTGTTTATTCAACGTAGTACACCCACCCACAGACAACAACCATCTGGGAGATGTATTCAGTGTTGGGACATGCATTTTTAAAGCGTCTCGATGACCCAGACTTTTAAGTGACTTATACTGGGAATCGGACCTATAATCTACCCAACTGAATTTATGAGTTTGCCGATGCCAAGTTGATGAATTCTATTTTATTAATTGGCACGTGCCGTCTGCATAATGCCTTTGTATATTAAGTATACGCCATGTGTTGCTATGGGAAGTTACTGGCGTCGATTTGCATGAAGGGAACCAACTGGCCGCGCTCGCCACTGATTGCTGCAACAAATTTTAAACTTATTAAAATAAAGAAGGGAAGCCCAAGTTTAGAAGAATACGAAGAATAGATACACTCCCGAAGTATCAAAAAGCTTTACTTCTGATGGAAATACTAAAGGGAAGACCAGAGGGATTACCTTCTATTGTCTTAATTGTTTCTTGTAAATACAATGAATTCTGAAAGGGTATAACAAAAAGCCGTAGCAAGTTCATCAAAGAAAGGCAACGCAAATTGCATTTTGCTTGGCGCTTAACTTTGGCTTCGACTCCTTGGTAGCAGCAATTCTGCATAATTTAGTCGGAGCATTTTGCAAACAATGCAATGCCAATGCCACTCTGCTGTTGAAAAAGTTGATTCACTTGCAGGCGTCGGCAAGTTGCAAGTTTTTCGCTGATGCTCGTTAATGTTTGGCCGGTTTACTCTGGCCCATTTTGGACCATTCGGGTGGGCCCTCCGCCTTTCGCCACTCGCCTGCGGACATCAGTGTTTCATTACCAACTAAAGCAACGGAAAACGGCAAACAGAAACAACAGCCCCCAAAAGCAAAAGCAAAAGGAGCAGCAGGAGCAACAACTGTAAAAGCAACATCCTTTGGGCGTCCTTAGCTCGTTGTCACTGTTGCGACTGTTTCGAGCCATTTGCGAGGTTTGTCTGGCCATTTTTGTTTGCTCGTTATGAGTTTTGCCAATTTGTTGCCTTGCTTGCAGTTTCCAGCAGCAGCCATTGTCTTCTGGCTGCTGGCACTCTCATTTAAAATGTCTTCAAGTTTCTGATGCAAAACTTTTCATTTTCCCAACCCCAATGTTTGTTTAAAATTATTTTTAATGACTTGTCATTCCTGCCAATTTGCTGCACTTCGTTGCCTTGCATAATTGTCTGCGCCATTGATTCTCTGAAATGTTGACAACTTCTTACACGGACAATTAGGTCAATGGTATGATCTACAAACAAGACTGACATGATGGGATGAGCTTGAAAAATGATATCTTACCTCAGGGTTTTGCGTTTAGCCAGGGCAGCAAATTGCGGCAGCCTTGGATCACGAAAGGACTAAAGACTGCTGGCGTAAAAAGCCAGCTTCATAGTTTTCCAGGTAAGTTTCTGCTCACATTTTCCACATTAGTCAGCATTAAAAATTTATTTGCTTTGAGTAGATTACACGCACCCACCACAACATTACGGCGGCGGGTGGGGCTCGGCAGGAAACGGCTTCTAAAGTTTTCCCTTCATTTTTTTTATAGTTCATATTCTCTTCGAACCGAGAACTCAGAGACCGACAAGATGGTTGGGAGAAAAAAAAGAAAGCGGTGTAAAAAACGGCAAGAAAAATGCACAATGCCTCAGACTTGTGGTTGGGGATAATACCGAGGCGGAGGAGGATCTAGAAGGTAGTAGGGAAAACAAATGAGCTGACTGCAAATTAAGTGCAGCTGCCAGTTTCACTTTGCTGCAGTAACTACTTTAAACAAACTTAAACTGGAGCAAACTAAGGGAGCCATTTGAAAGAGCTCTCTGGACATAGAACTAGTCTTCGAATAGCCTATAGAGCAGAATATGTTGGATATTGTTCAAAAAAGTTTATAATACTTAACTCATGAAAAACGAAAACAAAATATTGGTTTTTTTTTTAAGAGTAAACAGACAAAAGTTTCCTCTCAATGTAAATAAAGACACTCTTTTATTTGTTCCCAAAGTCCACCTTTATAAAGTTTATATATTTGTGAATTCACATATGTATGTATATTTGCCATTATTGTGGATGATAAGACTTTTTAATTCCATCTGGGGGTTCGAAGCCATAATACCTTAAAAACGTAATGTTAAGGATGACTAGCTGTTTCAATAAATATGTGCATATGACATTTAGTCCGTTTGACTCAAATGCCTTATATACCCATCAATAACAATGGCGTATCTGAAGCTCTTCTCTCTTCTAAAGAATCGCAGAGTCTCCGTATATATTTCAGTTTCTTTTTTCGTTCAGTTCAAGTCGGACGTGTTGATTAGCCGGTTTAAGTCCGGGAATAAAAATATATATGTACATACATACGTTTGTTTTTATCGCTTCAGAGTTTTCATTGCAAAGATCGCTTCAAAATCGCAAAAACTTTATGAAAAATTCAAATTAATTTAAAATCATGGCTACTTTAACGAATCTTAGTCATTTTGAGCTATTTCGAATTCTCGATTACATGAAGTGGAATTGTGAGAGGCAGAATAGTCTGGAATCAGTCCACTTGATCAAGTATTTGGATATTTTCAACTTCGCTCTCACATGCAAGAAACTCCGACGCATCGTTTGGGACTGGTCCAAGGATATATACTATCAACTCGAGATTAATCCACTGCACAAGCATCTTCACAAAGACATGAATGTTTCATTCAATAAAATACATTCCATTCTAAAAAGAACCACAAAAAAAGGGAAAGAAAACATTAACGATGTTTTCATTGCTTCCTTAATGAAGGAGGTGACTCTTAATTCCATCGAACTTACTTACAAGCCCCAGGAACATATTACGAATCACGAAGAAATATTTGAAAGGTACTTGAAAGCGATACGAGGCGAAAGGTCACGTAGGCAATTCTGCGTTTTAAATCCAAATGCAGTAAAAAACCTAGGAGACCTATTGACAAAATCAGGTAAGTAAATTGTATTTTTCAAATGTTCGTCTCTGGTATATAATTTTTCACATACTATAGATATCGACGATCAAAGTGGTTACCTTTTTTTTAATCATGACCAATCCATAAAAGTGAAGGAACTTATTTTAGATATAGCAGGTAGCTTCGATCAAGTATGTTTCTAATAAGATCAATTAATTAAATTTTCTTCAAAATTGCAGAACTTAATATGGGAGAAAGAGCCATTGCCAAGGACAAAATAATTCTAGATTTACAAAAACTTAAAAGACTTCAAGGAATTATTAAAGAAATTAAGGGTATTTTAAATGATTTCATCAAACAATTTCATTCTAAGCTTTTTATTGTAAAGTTTTATGACATTCCAGATTGTAACCTGTGTTGCAGTGAGGACCGAAAGGAATTTACGATTCTAAGTCAAGAAATTATTCTTAAGATAAGAATTATAACGGAAGTGAAAGGTAAATGGTTCATAATTTAATATTTCTAGTTTATACTTTTTTATTCAACGTAGACCGTGGAAGATGGGACAACATTGAACGTATAGAATATGAACCCCTTGATTCAAAACAAAAGGCAAAAATCCGTAGGATATTTATGGATATCTCGGGTAGTTAAACTCTTAATACCACATATTTTTTCATTCCAAGATTTATTTTAATTTTAGATGGTCTTATATTGGATGATTTCATAAAAAACTTTAAGAGCCTAAAGTCAAGCATTTTCCCTCAGGTCAGGCACATAATTATGGACCTAGCAGGCAAATTAAAGAGCATATTATGTTAAATATTTAAAACTATTCTTATTTTGAATTACAGAGAAAAACGATATAATGATTTTGGGACCGAAGAATGTACCCAAGTTCAAAAATGTCACCATAAACATATGTGGTAAATGAGAATCTTAATCAACCAAACATGTTTCAAACATAATACAGCCCTAATACTTTTCAGACCGCAGAATTAGTGATCTGGGACTCTTTCGACACATTTCCAAACTAAGTTTAACTGCCTCCTTCGAAATAGCCGATCTTATCGAGTTCTGCAAACAAAATCAGTCTTTGGTATCATTAGATATAAATGTTTCTAGCTTCGCAGATCACAGATACTTATCGGAAATTGCTGATCATTGTCCTCTGTTAAAGCAACTGAAGTTTGTGTTGAACGATAATGCCGGAGAAAAGGAATATGTCCGCCTGGCCAATTTAGTTAGGTTGCAGCAGTTGGAAATCGTCAAGACACCCAGTCATACTGACGATATGGAAAACTACTCTGATTTGGACTTTGAAGGGCTTACACCGAAGAGACTGCGAATAGAACCCGAAAACGAAGCCCTCAGTGGCAACATAAATAATACTTTCGAATCAAACGTGGCTCTGCACGAACTTTTAAAAGCTATATTGGCAAAGAAAAGGTCTTTACTCGTCAACTTGGCATTAAAATTTGATGTTGAGGATGAAATAGTCCAGACCATTTCCAAAATAAAAAGTCTTAGAGTTTTACAGTGCGGTTTATGCGATGTTAATAGCATAACCCATCTAAAGGATAGTCCAGTCCTAGGCCATTTGAGCCTCTTCAACAAAGGACATCTGATTTCCGAAGATATTGTACATTTATTAAAGAAACAAGTCAACGTCTCAAGCTTGGACGCAAAAATGAACCTTAGCCAACGCGGCTCTCTTTATATTGAAACCAACAATGCGGCTATTTATACAAATATTAATGTGGAGCCCCTTTTAAAAATTAAAAATTTAAATTGCGTTATAATGAGTAACGATCTTTTTAAATTAAGGGGATCATGTTTGGTCAGATTATTGGAGCAAGGTGTTTGGTTCAAAACTCGATCATGCCAAATGAATTTGGACTCTAGCATAAAGGAATTATATATTTATTATGATATAGATCCGATTCTAGAATTTCCACTCCCAGAAGTAAAAAACTTGAAATCATTTTTATTCTTTAAAGCTAGTCCCCCCGAATCGGTCCTAAATCAACTTATAGAGGACCATGCAAAAACTTTGGAAGAACTTAATATAAGTCTTCCTCAGACATTATTTGAATTAGACAAAGATGTTTGGCTTAATGAACCAAAAGTAAAGATGCTATCATCATTCACCAGTCTAAAGTACATATCTTGTGGACTTCAAAAATTAAAAGACATTCAACATTTGGCCAATTTGACGAATTTGGAAAAGATCATCATCTCGTCCAAGCATGATCCCAAATTTGTGGGCTTTTCCCGATTTCTGACCCCGGTGCTGCAAAAATGTATAAAATTAAATTACTTGGAAATCAAAATAGTTCCAAAGGGCTTAACACGAAAATTTTTAATTAGTCTTCACCGTATTGTGTTTAAAGAAAGGCATCAGGAAACTCAAATTTCATTGGAAGTGTGTTTAACCCTAAGCGCCAAAACAAACTTAACTGAAAATCAGGTTGGCATTATCAAAAATTAGCTTCTAATTCTATTATTAAAAATATTCTCTTCTATTATTTCAGGAAAAATTTACAAAACGGCCTTTTGAAGGAATGACGCTGACTATAAAGAAACAAGAAAATGATTTTGTATTGGATTAAACTTTTTATTAATTACCTTGTAGTTTCCTTTGGTAAATTCATTTTTGGAAGTCACAGGTGTTTATTTTAAGAAAATGCAATTCACAGGAATTTGAGATGTAATGCGGCTTAAGTATTACATTATTAATTACATGTTAGTTTCCTATTTCCAGTTCTCGCCTTAATTGCATTTTAAGCACAGACAGAAACTGTCAATTTCCATTTTTAAGCCCTAACCAATAAAAAAAAAGGAATTGACGTTTAATAGACAACAGCTGGCACTTGGCATTAGATAATGCCACATTCGTTGAAAGTGCCCAGAGGCCATTTGCATTGCGTATACGCAGTGTGTGCTGTTTGTGTGCCGTGAGTGGCAATGTGCAAATTAAGCAGCATCGAGCGGTCTCTGTTTTATTTACGCAACTGAAAACCCGTTGAAACTGAAATGCACACACCACCCGGCGGGAGACAATGCCTGGTAAATAATTTAGGCCGACTGCATTAGGGCCTGTTCCAGTGGCAGACGGGACGGGACACATTGGCATAATTTGTCAGCTGTCGGGTAATTTGTGAGACTGTTGCTAATTAAATATTCCAGCACATATGGTACATACATGTATATATAGGAAATCTGTAAAGTTGTTGAGTGCCATGCAAATATACTGTCCTGGCTCAAATCGAAAGCCAATTCTAATTCAGATCTCGGTAATGCCAATGTAAACAACGGCCCAGAAAACACAAAGAACTGGGAGCAATCAGAGCCATGTCACTTCAATTCACTTTGAATCAGGCAATGTCCATGGACACACCATCTTCTTGCCACTCAGAGTTGGTTTTGCGGCTTTCAGCCATTAATTGGGTCTCAAATTGAATACACAAATATGTTTTAAAATAATGAAAATCAGATAATGCATTCGGTAAGCAAGACGCACTGGCATTCCTGCATTTAAAATCAAAGTCCTCTTTTTTTTCTACTCCTTTGAAAGTCACGCCAACCGATATTCAAATTGGTAACCGAAACCCGGTCATACATCGCATTCTCATCTCCGGCCAGGATAATCTTTATTGTTTCACAGTTCAGTGACACAAATTTTCAATCGCAATTGAATGAATTCTCACATTTCGGGTGCGGCTTTTCCATTTCCATTTCCAAACACACAATCAGAAAGATAAAAGTGGCGGGAAATTCAGTAAAAAAAAGAAAAATATGCAGAAATATATTTATATTGAAAAGCCGAGGGCATGGCCTATAAAATGTATTCATATATCTGCTTTTACGGCTCTCGCTCTCAAAAGCCTGTGCATTTATTTTAATCAAGGCTATGGAGGTCAACATGCCTTGTCTGATATACATATTTATTTAAAGGCATACGCCCAAGTTTATTAAAACACATTACGCAAAAGAGCAGTGCTAATTATGTATTTAATGTAACAAAAAAAAAATTAATATATATATCATCCTTCAAGCCAGGCGTAAATATTTGCGTTGTTAATTACAAAATGCATGGCGAAGAATTATGAACTCATAGTTGTCGGTTCGCTGAATTAATGTATCAATTCGACCGTTAAAGTCAGTAAGTGAACTTCACTCTGGCTTCAATGAGTTGATTTTAAGCATATTGAAAAAAATACTATATTATAAAATGTATGTACATGCCCTAAGCTTGATTATTTTATCCACGCAAATCCCTTTCAAACACATTCAATTAAACGGTGCGCTTTGGGCCGGCAACTGAAGAGCGACCCAATTATGGACCTTTCTGTGCAGCCAATTAGCCATTTTGTCCGGGACTAACAGGTGAGACCTGAACCCCTGTGCCCGAAACTTCAAACCGCCACTTTGGCACTGCCGACGGCCGTAAACCAATTACTTCAAGTCCCAGAAGAAGGTCTCGTGTCACCCTTGTCAATTAATTGGATTATTTATGAGTGGGTGTATGGCCAAATCACAGCCAACGAGAAACTCGACTCAGAATGTGTGTAGACGGTCTTCAATTAATTCACAACATATTGACAACTATCAGCAAAGCTCTTAAATTAAAAAGGGTCAATTAATCGCTTTACAGCTGTAAAATGCATCCACGAACAAGGCCATTGAATTAATGAGAACCAAAAAACTGCCCATTAACTTTTTTCCGCCATATTTGCACTCATTAATTTTATTTTATAGAAAATTACGCATTTGCAATGACTTTTTAATAAGCTAAAAAAATGCACAAAGCACTTAGATTAAAAAAGTGGAAGCCAGAACAGGAATTTAATTCAATTTAATGTTGTAAAAAATCAACATAATTTTTTTGCTTGTCACCAACCACTCGTAGAGATGGGCTTTAAGTCAATCATTGGTTTCAAAGTCCTGTGTCTGTGCAATGTCCTTTGGCAAGTACACCTCCTTCTGGCAAACTGCCATTGAAATCTCCCCCAGATGTCTGCTCCCGGTGAACTGAAAGTCTTTCAACAATGACATTAAGAACTACCATCAATGTCTTTTTGTTATCGAAGAAACCCCAGGCTGTCAAGGCGGACAGAATGTGTGCTGGGCTTTACAAAACCCTAGTCAGAACAGGATGCGACACTGATGTCTTCGTGTTCGATGAGTGTCAACAAGTTGAGCAAGTTTTAATTGAAACACTTCGGCAAGAAGTTCTGCATCTTGGCACGAAATTTGCACAACATTTTAAAAGGTTCCGAAATATCCAATTACCCAAATGCCTGATGGTTGTCGGGCTAGTTCAGAAGAAGTCAAGAAGCCAAAGGATTTCCAAAAAACTTTGACTATTCGACACTCGACGGCAAAGATGGTAAAGGTCATGCTTCTCTTTGTCAAACAATGCAATTACTCTGGTAAGTAATCAAACAACTGGCGACTGGCAATCACTTTACTGCATTCCCAGGACAACTTAATTTATGCCAAACGATTTCATACTCGACTTGCCTTAAAGTCAAATAACACTGACCAAAAGTATCTCCATCCGCTGTACCCAGATAATGGCATCTTTAGCTTCAACTTTTTCTGAAAGACACATTTCCAAATGGAAAACTAGCATGTCATAAATGGAAAAGTTTAACCAACAAACAGTCGGCGGGAATCTAAAATAGAAACAATCATTTCCGTCGCTCGTCCTTCAAAGGACACAATGGATGTCGCGTGGCCGTTTCCTGTCCAGAAACTTATTCTCCTTTCGCCATATTTATCTGTGTGTTTCACTTCCGCCCTGGCTTGACGGCTTTGTGGCCGCACTTGATATATTTCCGTTGCCGCGAGTTGCCATTTTGTTTTTCCCCCTCTACCCATCTCTATGCCCCTTTGTCAGTACAAATATAAATAAAAATAAAAAAAATAATACGGCCCAACAGGTAAAAACATTTTATGTATTTGAATTTTATATTTATTCAGGGGCCTTTTCTAATTATAAATTGCTTTTCTGCTTTAGGTGGAAAATTATGCCAAATTGTTTCTGACACATTTCATTAACAGTTCGGAGTTTGGAGCATAATTGAAAATTCTGGTCCAGCAGGCACCAAATTTTTTCTTTTAACTTATTTTTTTAGCCCTGAGGCACTGATGATGTGTTGGCGAATCATAAATAAACCGCATCTTTAAAGAGCCTGTAGAGCCACATAGCAGGAAAATAATAAACTCTTACTAAAAATAATATATTTTAAATATTAGCTCTTTCTATAAATATTTTTAAATAGAAAAGACATTTTATTGAAATCCATTCAATACGTCAAATTTTTTTAATCTTTGTGAATTTTTTAGAATAAAGTCAACAGTTCCGTCGCTGTCATAGACCGTAGCAAAACATTTCTTCTATCCATCGATGTGGATTTAAACTCCCTCAGTGCATCTTCAGTATAAACTCCGTGAATCAAAAGTGTTAATTTATTTTTTGCCTCGTTTTGGGCCAAAACCTCGTCCACTTTTTCAATGAATTTTGGACTGATATTGTTATCTAAAATCCGTAGAAAGCTAAGATTTGGGCAGGCATAGATTACATTCAAGTACAAATTTGATACGTCTACGGAACTTATGGTGGTTACTCGGAGCATTTCCAAGGAAGTGAGCTTGCTAAGGTAGGGCACACAAGCGGGACTAGAAAAATGGCAATCCAATTTCTTTAGCGATTTTATTTTAGTCAGGGCTTCAGCCTCATTCTTAGCTCTTATAGAACCTCGGATCTGGAGAGCTTCCAGGGTTCGTTCACTGGCCAGAAAATTTAAAATCTCAATCAAGGAGTTTAAAGGACTCCATTTTGGGTAGCAAACTAAATGACTTTTTGTCCTAGAGCGATCTATCTGGAAGCTCAAGTCCTGAAGGTGCGGCAAATGTTTCAAAATATCCCTAAGATAGAGGCTACCAACTTCTGAGGACAAATGAAGTGTCCGCAAATTCTTTAGTGAGCTGCAGTATCGCCGCAGGACACGAGATGGTAACTCCACATCTATGGAGATGAACTCCAGTTGATGGAACATTCCCAGAAGTTTTGTTCCCTGCTCTGGAACATTTGAAATCATTTGTATTACAAATCATTTGATGAAAATAAATTTTGTTATACATACTTGGCGTACTTATGTGCATTTGCTTTAAACAGGGCAGGTCCCTTAGAGCTCTGAGTAAGCTTCCGGTTATCGGATGTGGATAAGACTGCCGTATCTTCACAGACTCGAGCTTTTTCATTCTTTGTACAAGATCACAGAATTGAATTAAACGTTCTTTACTTCTCAGTTTGTAAAGCGACTGAAAGGAACTAATCAGATCGTCAACAAAAATTGTGAGTCCTTTTATGTGCCTGGCAACCAGACTCATTAAAACTAACTCCTTTTCCACTACATCACCAACAATCGAAACTTTTGTATATTTATTTCGGGACCAGGTGCCAAACACCTGACGAAACCTGGAACAAGTCTGAGAGAAACTAATATGCTCGCTGAAATTCGAATAGTTTAAAATTAACTCCAGGCAGTTTTCGCTCAAATGCATAAATCCTCGTTCTTTCATGTTGATGATCGTCAATGTACTACCAATGACAAATTTTTCGCAGTTATTAATAAACCCTTTTCTTGCTAAAAGCTCAGATAAGATAACGTGTTACTGGTATTATCGCAAATACAGTATATCGCGAAGGGCAGTGGAAAAAAAGTTCACAGTGTGTCAATACAACTCACAGTTTAAACAAATATAAAAATAAACAAAAAAATAAAATAATCTTTTTGAAGATAAAATAAAGACTCGTTTACTGCAATGTAAGAATCAAATTAAGATCTATATATATATATTCCTGCTAAAGGAATATAAACATTATCTTTAAAAATGGTATACCCCCATCAATATAGAGGTCTTCTACAACTTTATCCAATTGCCTGGGTTTCGAATTTAAATGTTTAATATCTACTCTTAACAGGCATTTTAAAATTCTATAAATATTAAAAAATATCAACAGGCCAGGACATACATCTCTACAGCCAGGAACATATGTGGGTATGTGTGGCATACACGCACACTCACCTGGAAGCATTAACTTTTATTGGCACGGCACTACTACTGACCTACTTTATATAAAACCGAGATGGCTCAGCGCTCTTACAGCTCGCACCTGCTGACAGCTCAACACATACTGTAGATGTTATACAATATATATGATATATATAGGAAACACAAATACAAGGGCTACACGGAGGAAAAGCCGTGCTCAGCAGGCGTGCTTTGATCTATGGCCCCACTGCCAGGCATTTTCCTTTTACCTTTTCCGCGAAGAACTCCACCAGCCGCAGCTGTAAAACTTTTCAGTAATTTCTTTACCTTGGCCGTTAATTAAATTAAAACAGCAAGGGTTCCAGCTTCTAAGAGACCCAACCACGAATTGCCATAGAGTTCGAATATATATTAAATTGAATCAGAAATTGGCTTGACACTTTTTTCAATCTTAACCTATTGCGGCGCAGTAAGCTTAAGAATTATATTTCATCTTAAAGTCCCATCGATTCTCAATCTTATGAATATTTCACAGCAAAAACCCCCACCAAAGTGTGGCGGCAAGAAACAATTTTAAATAATTCAAAGCCAGAATAATAAGGAAGAGGACGAGTATCTGGCGGATACATGCGTTTACGATGGCAATGGATAATAGTGTCTTGCAGTCAAAGTGCGTGTATGCAGGGAATTACCAAGTGTTGTCAACACAAGCACCCGAACTACCCAAACACTCACGCCTGGATGTGCTAGATGTCCTGCAGGAGGCGCTCAACACCATAGCGCTGTCACTACAAAGGACTTATGTAAAGTGAAAGTGTGCGCGGGCGTGTCATAAGAACGGCATACATACATACATTTCTATATGTCCACCCACTCCTGATCCCAAGCACTCTTGTTTGGGCGATTGTCTGTGCGACAATAAACGAACTTACACATGCGAGAAATGCGTTGGGCAAGGAAAACGACCGGAAAGGCATACATAAATAAGTTTCCGGATTAAACGCACACCTCCTGTGTCCTGTGTCCTTCGCATCCATGGATCCTTGGGACAAACGGACAACCTCGCAAGTTGGTGCAATAAAACCAAAATGAAACCGGGTTGCCCAAAAACAACATGAATAAGCCAATCTGAACTCATATTTGCAAGATTTTCATCACGCACATGAAAAACAGATGTGGGTTCATTTAGGTTGAGACTTTCCAACCAAAAGAACTCTTTTTCTTAAAGACAAAAGCTTAAATACAAATACAAATATTTAATACTAAGTAAGAAACAATTTTGATTTAGTAGATTATTATGGTTAGCAGTGCACAGTTTACTCCTTCATCGTTGGACTCATAAAGCATTTTGTTTGAAGGAATTTTATTTTCGCTTTTTATGTGTTATTTTGCCACGAAGATATTTCATTTTTATTTGGGGAAATGTCCCCGCACGTGGTCCACATTCGCATTCAATATTCAAGAGTCTCAACAAATTACTTGAACCCTTTTCATGGCCCGTCGGATGCCCCAGAAGGCTTTAAGTCATTTGTCAAAATGCGCAAAAAACAGCTTAAGGAGGCAGGACTGGAGCAAGACCAGGGCAGGACTGGCAGGAGTTTCACTTTCACACTTTCTTACTTAAGCAAATGTTGTCATCTCATTTGCTCGTCAGAGACAACAGAAACGGATAAAATAAGGATAAAATACATAATACAATATCAGAGGTCCTGCCTGCCGGCAAGGACACAAGCCAAATACATTGCCTGTCATCTTTGTCGCACATTCGGATTCTGGGCCCCTGTCTGATTAAATTACTCAAATTTTTCGGGAGGGCGACAAGCGGTGACAGATCATTGAATCGAAAACTAACATCCATCCTGGTGGGTAAGCAAAAATCGCAAAAATGTCGAACACAAAAAATCAATTTGCGAACGCACAACGTTAACTCACTCGATACTAAATAAATGCTAAAGGTCACTATAATTTACCTGTCTTACCTGATCCTTGGCTCTTTTTTTATCGTCGAAAGGGAAATGGATAAGCTCCCCTCATTCAACCAACCGAATTTAATGGCTCCAATTTGCGTCAATTTTCCCAAAAGTTTCCAATAAAAAGGCGAGACAAGGGATAAAGGCTATCTGCGATGTACCAGCTCGAACCAATAGCTCGAACGTTTCTCCTAATTGTATCTCTGAGCTGGCGAATTTATGGTCGCCACTATTAAATGTTCCAGCTCGAGGTCCTCCGCCACGGCTATTTTATGGCCCGAGCTTGGCCAGAAAAATGAGGCCAGGATGTGGCCAAGGCAATGCCCACCTTTCTTTTCGAAGGTTAGTCGTTCAGCCAGGCCAGCACATTATAAAAAATTCAATTATAAGCTTTTTATAATGGTATGGTTTTGGTCACACCTGGACTAAAGGCTCTGCACATTCATTCTCCATTCATACACATATAACTATACATATAGACATTCGATTGAAAGATCTTTTAATGTATGTATGTGGAAAACATCGGATATAGGTGTCCCATTCTTACACATATTTATAACGACCCATGGTGTGATCATCAACAATCGAATATTTATTTGGTTTATAAAGTCTAAGATATCTCCTTCAGTGCATTGCACACTTTTGGCCAAAACTAATATAAGGTATAATAACTTTTTGTTCTTTTTGATTTTTTTTCCGTGTATATTAGATTGCCTTATCAAAATAATTCTTAGATAAGGTTAGGTATCAACAAATCGAGAATTACGTATTTTAGTTCCACTGGAGAGTTATTTCAATGCAGAAGTGTATTTCTTTTCAAAGAGAATCCGTAATGGAACTACCTCCGATTTATAAACTAAACTATTATTGCATATTTGAAATTTTTAAACAAATCAAATTAAATTGTGATAAAAACTGTAATCACACCAATTCAGTGCTTCGATACAAAGACATTATATCGTTTGTGTCGTCCAATTCTAAATTTAATGACATTTATTTAGAGTGGAATGGAATCAAAAATAACGATTTTATAATGTGGACAGGAAAACAAGTTCACATTTATTTTCATAGGTTATATGAAACACTAAAGAAACTCAAATCATCGGAGAAAGAACAATATTTAAGCATCTTTAAAATGGCGATCGAAGAAAATAATTCGGTTGAGGCTTGTTTTTTGGATTATAATCCAAAATCGTATTATCCTGAGCACATTGACATATTTGAAATGACAACGCGACTGCTCCAAGAAAAAACAAGTTTAAAAGCTTTGCTTATTCGATTGACAGGTGAGTACGAAATATAATTTTATAATATTTATCCTTACATAGTTTTTTAATATTATTTTCTTTTAGGTTACACTCCCGAGAATCTAGAGAATTTCCGGCATCTTCGTACGTTGCAGCTCGATGTAGACATCGAAGTAAGTTATTTGATCGAAATAATCAAAGCAAATCCCAATCTGAGAAATCTTGAATTTATACACCCTGGAAGAAATGGAAAAATATCGGATGTTGCAGTTTATTGTCAGAAACTGGAAAGTTTGACTATAGAAATGAACCCAAGTGTGGATGCCGGAGACTACATACCTTTTGCAAAATTGCCATACCTTAAAAAGTGGAATATCCGAGGAAATCCGATGAAAGGTTCTTCCCATAAATTGTTCAAGTCCATATCTCATTCAACAACTTTAAAGGACTTGAACTTAAGTCAAATGGTTCTCAATGCCGAGGAAATAAAAGAATTGTCGAATCTTAGGTCTTTGAAGAGATTACAACTTCGATTGCAGGGATCTAACATGGCACAGAATTCAAACACTAAATCAGACTTATCCTTAGTTACCCTATCGATTTTGGACGTACCTTGGGAGCAGGAATGGAAATTCAAAGTACAATATAATGAAAATATTATCCGTATGGATAATATATATATACATAATGTGATGAATGAACTATATATAAGTTCTCCAAGCACAGATATAAAAGATGTAATTTTTAAAGCACAGTCTAATATAAACACTTTTAATACTATGAAAGAAATGTGCAATGCATTGAACGATCCTATGGACCTTAATAAAATTGCCTCATTCTTTGTGTTAAAGTCGTTATTCTCCTTAGTTCAAGAATATGCTGAGAACATAAATCTTTTCGCAAATCTGAAAGATCTCCAATGGCTTGAAATACATATCCAAATTAATATTCAGAATGAGTTAAAGGAACTTCAAGAAACCAACCCACTTGTTGATTTGATAGATATTGAACAATCGATTCCACTGCATCCCGCTTCGAAAGGTCTTATATTGATGTACCAATTACAAGGATTAAAAAAAGTCCTAAATATCAGTGTGCTTACTAATGTGAGAAATGAAAAAATCATAACAAATTGTAAAATAAATTTTGGTTTATCACTTCAATTCCATCAAATAATCCCACGATTTAAAAATTTTATAAAGTATTAAATCTTCACAAATTAAATAAACTTTATAACATTATTGCCTGAAAGCGAATACTATAAATTAACGACACACATTTAAAATATAGCATATAGCATTACTTGTTAAATTAAATAATTAATTTCGTTTAATAATATTTATGCCAAGAATATACATATATTATTAAGCACCCAAATAATAAGTAGCTTAAATCCTTTGATTTTATAGCTAATTTTTCACACTGGAGAGATGGTTGGTGGTACTTTTTTCCAAATTCCCCTTAACCCGAATCTAAAAGAATACCAATTTTTAAGAGTATTACAATTTGTTGTTGGCAGAAATCCAGTAAAGCTTCCTGGAAAGATCCATCAATTATAAGAAAAAAAATAAATAAAAAAAAACACTGCAAACAAAAATCAGGAAGGTGCTTTGAAAATTTCCGATAATCCATATGCTTGCCAAACATTTTTGATGACAATATGACAAATTTTCGTATTCAGCTTCTGTCAGACAATAACGTCGTCCTTGTCCAGGCGACAGGCCATGAGACGGAGGTATTTCTGCCCCAGCTGCATAACGAGCGCTTCGCTCTGAGGAACATCATCCGCAGCCGAAGGCCCCATCCCAGATACGAAGCTGACGAGGATACCTTTAACCAAGAGCAAGCGCCCTCCAGCTACATTAATCAACGTCCCAGACTGACCACGGCAACGGCCGGCTTGGCCCCCATTGGTGAGGGTCCACCTCCTGGAGGCGGACGAAGAGGGTCGGTCTACTCTGGGTTAAGCGGAGGAGGAGGCGGAGAAGGTAGCAATCATGGGCGGGTCCTACAATTTACCCTGAAACTAATATCCAACGAAAAAGTGGTTCTCGTGGAGTCCCGTGGTCACGAATCGGAAATATTTCTGCCGTATCTTTTTGACCAACTCATTGCCATGAAACGAGTTACCGCCAATGAGCTGATCCAGTGCTCTCGTCTCAAGTCCCGACCACAGCTCCCGCCGGTTGTGGATCTGAGCCCAAACCCCCCATTGAAAAAAGACAACTTGTTCTTCAATCCCAGCCGATTCTTTATCCAAAACAATAGCATTGAAACAAATACTCCGGAACCAGGGAAGCAGGTCAAGCCCCGAAGAAAACGCCGCTACCAGGCCAAGTACTCCGGAGCCGGGGATCAGCAGTCCGGAAAACGCTGAAACCTAGTCCGGCCTAGCATCTAGCATCAAAACCCAAAAATTCTGTTGGAAATTTAAGGTTTTATCGAACTGAATGCGAGTCGAGGGAAAACTCAAGGCTAAAATGCATTGCAGCCGCGGTAGCAGTGCGTCCAAATTTTCGTTGAAGCTACTGATGGGCCAGAGTGTGGTCCTCGTGGAGCATCCGGATCTGGAGCCGCAATTATTCGCCCCCATTCTGAGTGAGGATGGTGTGACTTTGGAGAAAATGACCATCAATATATCGTCGGGTAGCCCTTTGGGTCAAGTACAAAATGAAGGTCCCCCCCATTCTGAAGACGTCATTAAAGACAATCAGATCGATTACCCGGTGAAATTACGTCATCCTGTTGATAAGGCTGTAGATCATTTGCAGCAAAGGAAAAGGATACGATTCCATATGGCACCCAAGACCCAAAAAAATCTGGAACCCAGTCGAGAATGTGTCGTTCACGGCCGAAAGCTGCAAAACAAGAACATCCGACATGTGCCGCCACCGTTTGATGTCAATTACAAGATCTTCTACCTGGGCAGGAATAGCTAGAGAAGGAATCAGACACTCATTTGGGCCAACACATAGGGAATCTTCAACTGTCCTCCCTGCAGGAAGATACATATTCTTCAAACTGAACCTCTTCAACTGATAAGGGGGCTCACTGTGAAGTGGATGTATCTTCGAGGAGGATATATTATTACTTTTTTGAATAAAAATTTAACAGTGAAATATTCTATATAATTTCAAGGGTTGCTAAATTATTTCAAATTATTTTTTTACAGATTCAAGACTAGAACCGCCTTACAGAGCTTTTTCTTTTAGCTTTAAGCTGCTTTAAAAACAACATTGTGATAGGTCAGTTCCGACAAATACCCGATGAACGGGTTTGCCGACCAATAACCTACGACTACGTATCTTATCTGAAGAATAATAATACAAAATTACTCATAACATTCAATTCCGTTGCAATTTTGATTCAGTTTCGCTTCGATCGCTGTAGCAAAATGAGTATCAAAAATCTGGCTGATCTCTGCGACGACAGCCTCTATTATATTTTTGATTATTTATCCAGCGAGGATCGCATTAGTCTCGCGCAAGTATCCCAAAGATTTCGAAATGTTTTTGTCGATAAATACGGCAGCAAGTACAGTGACTATACCCTAATTGCTGCCAGTTCTCGTTTGGAGCTTATAGAGTTCTGCATCTGTCGGGTAGTGGTGAAGTCTTTAACCATCGATTTGGATCATTTCGATACGAATAGATACTTTAGAAACTATGGTTGCATAGCTCCCAAAAACTGCTTTCAAATCCTGTGTCATACTTTGGCGGGAATGGTCCGGTTGGAGCATTTATCAATAAAACAATTAAAAGATCTAGTCACACCGATTAAAAGATTGTTTGATCAAATACTAGAGCCCATTAGATTATTGACAAATCTAAAAAGTCTGCAGATCGAAGCAAGAGATGGTAAGATTTTTTTCGCATTTTCATATAATAATTTCATCATAAATAAGTTTACGTGGCTTTCAATAAATGTATATACGTGGCTTTTAATTCATTCATTTAAAATTAAATTTTCATATATAAAAATATTTATTTTTAATTCAAACCCATAGATTGTGTTCTCAACCACTTGTCACAACTCCAATACCTCGAAAGCCTGACCCTTCTGGTTCCCAAAGTCCCTGTTGCAACTTTGGTCAAGTGCTGCAAGTTCAATACCAATCTCAGGGTACTGCATCTTGGATACTCGTGTGTCCAGGGAAGCATAGGTGACATCGTGCCACACTGTAATAAGCTAGAAGTTCTCAAGTTCGGAATGACGGCAGAAGCCTCAACCTACAAGCCACTGGCAAGACTTCCCAGGCTCAGGGAGCTCTACCACTTTGGTATCCGCAGAAGTGGCTCCTTCGAGCCTCTCCTCTCCGATCTGGCCACTCATCCGCAGCTGACCCATCTCTCCATTGACGGGGGAAGTCTCACTCTCCCGGAGGCAACACAGCTAGTCCGCATCCGGAGTTTGACCCACCTGAAGTGCTTTTTCTTCACCATCGAGCCCTTGGAGTTGCTAGCTGACCTGGTGAACCTGGAGGAGCTGTGTATATGGATGTCCTGTTCCGTGGACATATCCAATAGCCTTCTTAAAATCATAGCAAGCTGCAAGAATCTGAAGCTTCTTCGACTGGCAGCGGGAAAGGTCAAAACCACATTTTTTCAAGAAGCAATAGACTTCATCAAAAAGGATAAAGAAACTGAAATATTGAAACCAACATTAAAATTGGAACTTCCGAATGATATTAATAAGCAAGATATTACTCAGGAGGTTTTTAATAAATTATATTATCCATTTCCCATCGGCAGATGGGTTCCATCTGCCCATTTGATGGGCAGATTGGATAAGCTCATCAAATGGAATACATTCAATAATGATTGAGCTATAGGTTTAAGTTTGTAACGAATTTTACTTTGACTAGAATTTTCAAAAAATAATTTAATAAACAATGTAAAACTTATTTTTAGAAGAAAGACCAAACTAATTTATAAATGGTGGCTTAATATTAATTATCCTTATTTTAGTCTTTTACTTTGTCATCGACAATGAGTACGTAGTAGCAGTAGCTAGGAAACCTACTTCCCACCTTAATACATCATTTAATTGTAATTAAAATCATAAAGAAGGTAAAATCAGAAAAAGAAATAGTGCGCCACCTTACTTCCATCTAATCAACTTGAGAATCTGCTTTCTAGCAGATCCTACATCCTTCAGCAAAGTCCCGACAAAAGCCTGCAGCCTCACAGAACTTCAAAAGTATGTCGCAAATTTCGCATACTCAAGTGCCAAAGCAGGAACATGATATGAGTATCTCAAAAATAGTTGTGCAAGTTGTTCGCCCTTCTGGGAGAATGATGAAAAATGCACTTTGTAATTTTCGTAGCTCGTTGCTCGTTGCTCGTCAGTGTGTGGCACATGCAACGTCGCCCATCCGTCGCCCGGCACTTATAAATGTCACATTAGAGTCCCATTCTCGGGCACAGAGACGCGGGGTATGGTGGTATACGGGTATGGAGGTGTGGCTGGGGAAGCTCGTTATACTTCCGCCCCCCCTGCACAGCCGAGGGTGGGCGTGGCTCTGGCTATATTTGTCCGCACAGTTGTTGTAATATGAATTTATATTCTTGTCACATACACTTTAGCCGTGAGAATCCAAGTTAGCAAGTGGCATGGTCCTTGACAACTTGTACATGAAATAGATTATTTCAAAGTAGAGTACTTAAATCTCATTATTTATAAATAAAAAACTTTTCCTTTCTATCAAGGTAATTTATGATTTATTTTCAGAGGTCTTGTTATAAATACCATCACCCATTTAAAAAAAAAATAATAATAAAGCTTATAGGGGCAGTTTATTCTGGCGTGATTTATTCAACTGTTGCTTTTCGAACCCATCAGCAAAAGTATCAATTTCCCTTCCATCAGTTAAAACCTTTTTGTTTGACAGAGTATTTAACAAGAGCTGGCCCATAAATCTCCGTATTTCCGGCCACCTTTCTCGGCCACCTATGGACTGGGCCCAATAGATTGAAATACATTTTCGTTTTTATGTTTTTTTTGGGTATTGGGGAGTTTGTTTTTTATTTCATTTCGGTGTTCATTGAGATTTAAAGTCGGCAGGATTTGGCGACGGCGTCAGAAATCGAAGTCCTTGTCGTTGTCTGCCCCGCAATTTGTCAGACAGGGCCGGGCTGGTCGGTCTCCTCCCGCTACTTGCCAACTTAAAGCGCCCTAATGACCGCCATTGTAGCCGGACGGGCGTTTGTTTGCTACCAAAGCTCTCACTTCCCATATCCGTTTTCGGTGATTGGCCTGGCAAACGTATCCATTCGTTTCTCCTTTGTGAGCGCCCTTCGATTCAATTGATTTTCAGTAACGAAAGCGTTAAAATCACACACTCCCATCCCACGTAGATTTATATGCTGTTTGCCTATATGTGGCCTCCTGGCCTATATATATTTTATGTACTTTGGTGTATTGTTGCTTGGCGATTTATCTGTGATTGCACTTGTACATATCAGGCGCCTCGAGGCCATCAAATTTACACTTGAAGTGTCTCTGGGAAATGCTTTTGTCAAGATTTCGTCACCTATGTAACTTATGTGGCTTACGGCGCCGGAAAAGTGGTCAGTTCATTGAACTGTAAAGTGTAAATCATTTAGGGCCGCCTTTTAAATTCCTGACCGGGTCCAAAGAATAGACAGATAAATGGCACACATTTCTGGGTTCATTCAATTCGATAGAAACAAATAAATCAATTACAGATGTTTGAGTAATCATTGGGATATTCTTAGGAATTCAAAGGGATGCAAGGAAATATTTTTAAATCATCAAAAACATACCTAGATTTAGATATATTCTTGAAATTCAAAGCCTCATTTTCGTGAAAGGAAAACTTTGACGACACTCGGCTGATTCAAATGCAAATTACACTAAACTTGCAAACCCAAAAAGTTATCTACTTTCTGGAGCACCACAATAAAACTGAATGATAACAATTTGGTTTGCATGGCAAAGTCATTTTCAAGCCACCGTACCACCGTACTGCCAGTTGTTACCTTTTTGGCTTCGTCTTGCCAGAAGGTGAGCTAGCTCGCTTGTGGTAATCTTTTCACCGCCTTTTTGTGGCCCACACGGCACCAGTCCAGGCACCAGGCACCAGGCAGGATTTCCAGGATGCACAGGTGCAGAGTTCAGGATGCAGCTTGCAACCGCACACCGACATGCCAATTGTGGCCAAGACGGCGGGCCAAAAAAGATGATAAAAAGCACTGCACCCGTCGAATGTTACTCGGGCAGGTTGGTAGAACTGAGTGTTAACCCATTTGGCTCGTACTTGCTGTTCTGCGGCTTGTTACATTTTTTAGCAGTCTCGGTTTTATGCAGTTTTTATGGGCCTGTTCTCGTCCCACTTGATTGCCCACAATCATTTTTCTACCAGAGTATGTATGTCTTTTGTTTGGCATTTAAGCCAAGAATATAAAGTGTTTGAAATTCTAAGAAATTCTTGGAGCTAAAACAAATATTTCCAGCCATTAAGTCATTTGTTTTTAAATAAAATAAAGTTTTTTGATTTCATAACAATACCTTTATTTAATTTGAATCATAATTTACAAAAATTCATAAATTTTCATGTGGTTCCAAGTCGTTGAGGACAATGGCTGAATCCTTTGATCTTGCCTGGCGACGACAGCAAGTTAGGCGCCCAATTATCGTTGCTTTTTATGACCAGGGTTATGAAATGTTTTTAGATGGTAGTACCTCCACATAAATACTGGCCCGACGCCGCACACCGTCACCTCTTCCCGTAAATGGTTTTATATGCCTTTATGGCAGAAACCAATTTATTTGCACATCCCCTTCGCCTTCCTTAACCCATCCGTAACCTCTTCCTTTTCCTGTTCCTGTTCCTGGTCCCGAAACCCTGCCGTTCGAGCCACCTTTAAAGTCAAATCATAAACAAGGGCATAATGGTATTTCCAGCCAGTGCTGGGAGTCACCTTTGGTCTGAAGTTTTAGAATATTCTGAGGAGAGAAATCAAATTAAAGGCTTTACTTGAAGCTTTGCTCTAATCGGAATGGGAATCAAATCTTCTTGGCCAAAACAGGCTGTGATGGGGACGGGTTTCAGGTACCATTAATCAAGCACCTCAATCAGACTACCATGGTATACCACCTGTACTCAAAAATCAATTTCGCAACCACGATGGGCGAACTAGACCCTACTTGATGACCTCATTAGCCTCAAGTTTCTCGACCCTGACTCGGCCATTTACCACTCAAATGCAGATGCAGTTGCACATCCAGTTTGCAGTTTGAGTAGTTTGTGCCACACACTTTAGCCTACTTAACGACTTTGTTAGCCATAAATTCCGCTGGCCAACAATAAGGATATTGGATGTCAACGTCGTGTTGTCTTGCCGTCGGCCGAGGGCCGTTGCCCGCCCATTCCCCACAGTAATTTCCAGTAAAATGAAACGGAATTTCCTCTCCGGGTTTTCCCTTTTCTTGCCATATTTTTTTTTTCACCCAACATTCTTTATTCTGTATTCTACATTCCGGCATTCCTCCAATTTTCATATTTTCCTCTTATTTCATTTGAATTGTGTGCACGTATTTTATGCACTTTTCCTCCTTGTTTCATTTTAAATGCACGGATAAAAAATTGTTGCTTAAATTAAGGTTACACAGCACTACAAGTCTAGCATGACCCTTACAATGTCTTAAAAACCTTGAAGTTTAAAAAAACGATAATGATTTTGGCTTTAATCTATCATAAATATTGCCCCCTAGCCCCCAGGCGGCTAGCCTTAAGAGATATCGATTAAAGATATGAGACCCAAAAATTGGTAATAAAGTAGGGTCGGTCACAGAATCCTCAATTTCCAATATAAATCAAAACATTTACTGCTTCCTGTTGGTCCTGTACCACCCCCTACTCCCTCACATGTAAATAAACCCCAAAACGAGGAAGAGTTTTCATTGTTTGTTTATTTTTGTATGTCCTTGCATACGCAGCGAAGGATTTTCAGCAAGTTTGGGTCAGATCGTAGCTCAATACTTGTATGTATGTGTATTATATAGGGATATGGGTTGGTACACATATAGTTTATCGTCCGGACGGAAGGAAGCAAGACCCACAGCGGGAAATAAATTCAGACGGTAGCCGGAAATTATTTATATTATATTTTTTATGTGCATTGTTTTTGTTTTTTATATTTTATTTGATACAATTCTGTGTGTTTTTATTTTTGGTTTGTTTGCTTGCCAAATATTTAATATGCATTTTAATCAAAATAAAACGAAGCACCGAGTCCGAGAGGTGGCGATATTAAAAAATATACACGGAGGCCGAGTGGGAAAAAAAGCCCAAATATAAATTATAATTTCCGCAGGAGGCCACAGGACACAACACATCCTTCTGGCCCAAGCTCAGTACGGGGAGTGACATAAAAAAAAATCCCGACAACATCTGCGTGAAGTGCGTTCAATTATTCGACTTTTTTTTGCCGTTGGCCTGTGTTGTATCCTTGTATCTCAGCTTTGGTCCTTGCTCCTTTTTGGCCCGCAGCTCGCAGCAGATAAACTTTCATCAAGTCAGCAAAAGAAAACAGACAACAACCAAGCAATTTGTTGTTTTTTTCACTTTTCTGTTGAGACTTTTTTATTTTGGCTCTCAATTTTAAGGGAAATGTTATTGCCACTAAAGAAAAGTCGTCTGGACTTTAGAATTTGTGCTGCACTTCATTTTGTATCCTAAAGTGGAATACAATTGTTACAAATGTTTTTCAGCTAGAAGCGGGCATTCAATCGGAAGGGAATGCATAGTAAGTTGGCCCAAATTGTTTTGTTTATTCATTTAAATTGAAATTTTCTGGTTCGAAAATTACATTTTAATTTAATAAGTTGGAAAGAAAATGCATCAAGAGGAAGAGCTTCCAGGAACTGACGATTGAAATTAAAATAAATTCTTAGAATTATTTATTTACATTGTATACCCCATTTGATTATTACTCCCGCAAAATCCTTAAAGGATACTTGAGCAAACATTGCTTACCGCACAACGTAGCATAAAAACATAATTTGAACTTGCCCCTTTCCCAAATCATTCCATAAAGAAGCACACAAAAAAAATGCAACCAACCTGACCTAAGCGAGCGGAAAACGGAAAATCGGAAAATCTGAAGGGGGGGCGAAAAAGAGAGAACCGGAAAAGCGAAAAGGAGCAGCAAGGAGCTTCAAATCAGCAAATGGAAATGTATCGAACGCACTGAATGGAGGCGATGGCAAATATTCATGATAATGCCAAGGACGTTGACGCTCCTTGGGCGACGGGAAACGAGGAACGAGAAACGGCATGAAAAACCCAGCGGAAAATTTAAGAAAAATTCTTCACGACCGCCTTTTTGTGTGGCCTGGCCCAGAAGAAAAAGGATTAAATCAATGTTGTGGAACAAATTGCGTTTTCTATATGCCAGTGTGTGTGCTTGGTATGTGAAGGTAATGCAGCCGAGCCGTATTTGATATCCTCGTTTCTTCCAGCGATTTTCTTTTGCCGCCAACAAGGCAAAGGCATAACGAGGGTACTCCGACTTTTCCGTATTCGGTATTCCAATGTGAATAAAGGAATGGAAGGATGTGAAAGTAACCCCGGCCCCCGGACATGACCACACACGATGTCCCATTTGATTTTGATGGCGTGAAGCTCACACGAGCGTTAATAATCTGAAACACACACGAGAACGGGGACGCAACTCGGTTGGTTTTTATGGGGAATGGGTCCTTAACCATTGTCCTTACAGCTCCAAGCATGGAAATTAACATGTTTGATTTATGAAATCAAAGGAATTTTTATATAAGTTTTGAATCAATGGGAGTTAGAGAACTAAAAGACTAAAAGTCATGAAAAAGGATACAGTTCGGACGTCATTAGATTGAACACTTAATAACTTTAAAGCTTCAACATGGTTTAGAAATTTAGATCATTAGATAATTAGAAAAATTAGATAATTACATTTTTGATTCAAAATAATAGGGATTTGGTTTTTATTAACTCTTTTTTTAGTTATTTTATCTTACTTACAAGTTTGTATTTATATGTTTAACTAAATCGTAAAACAGTAGAAAATATTTTTGTTATCCATAGACATATCATTTTGCAAATTCCCTGAATATATAGATAGTATCTTCTAGATACCACTTCCTTCTCTTTAAGCCTTGACATAAATATTCTACAAATGATACAAATTTTAAAAACTTTTCATTGAGTGACCAGAAAGCCCTGTTGATACCCCACTTCCGATCCAAAACACTCAGTCTTTATTGCACTCACTTAAACGTAATCCGTAAAGCTAACCACTATCGCAGCGTCCCGCATCTAGGTTAGCAGTTCGTCCACATCCAAAAGTGGGCGTGGCAGGTGGGTGACAACGCTGGCAAAATCCGCCACGGAACAGGCATAGAGATAGCCTTTTCTCAGGTTACCCTTGGCGTTGCCTTTTCGCAGCCAGTGTAGCCATTTGACCCGCTCCTCGACTGGATCGCAAATGATATAGGAGTCCTGGATCTGGTCGAGGGTGGCCCGGGGATTATTGACACCCACGAGGGCGATGCCGCGGCCAGGATTTGCGTTGTCAATGAGCACACGATAGAAGAGCTGTGGCACTGCCAGAACGTCGTTGTTGTTGGCATCGGAGGCCAGGTGGAGGGTGCGATTCCCCACCTGCAACGCTCCATGGGTGCCCGTATACACCGTGGCCGAGATGCCAGAGGTGGCCACAAAGCGCCGCGTAGAGTCCTCCAGCGTGGCCCACTGACCGCCGTTGAAGCTCTGCCATTGGGGCGCCACGTTGACGTAGTTGAAGCTGCTCCTCTGCTGGCTGGCATAGATCAAGTCCGCCTTTGCCGCCAGGTGGCCACGGGCCAGAAAGTACCCATCCTTGACGTCCAGCAGACCCGCCCCGGCCAGCAGCTGCTCCTGGTGCCGATGGGTGTAGATTCTGGCCATGTCGTAGCCCTCGAAATGACCGGCGGGGCTGAAGCTGAGACGCTTCACGTTCTTCTGGTGGTGGACATTCGCTGGTACCAAATGATGGCGGGCGTAGTGGGTGCGCAGGGCCAGGGGGTCGTGGCACAACTGCATGGTCTCCACAAATCTCCCATCTCCGGTGTCATAGCCCACGCGGTACAAAGAGGTGGAGGCGACTGTGGGAATGGAGGAGGCTTCTCCACATGGCTTGTCCAGGCGTTCCACGATGTATGGTATGGACTTTGAGCAAACAAAATCACGGAACTTGATGTGCTCACCCGACCAGCCAAAGGTTGTCTCCTGCAGACACTGCACCCGTATCGAACGAAGTCCTGGCGGCAGGGATTCGAAGGACTCGCTGCAGTACAATTCGATGCTGGCACCGCGGGGTATTTCCAACTGCCCCTGCGAATTGGGCAGCCAATAGAGATCTGTGCCCGGGCGCAGGTACAGGGGTTGGACTTCGTTGGGGCGTGGCAGGTCCTTTTGTACGTCCACTTTGCAGGGTGGACCTTAAATAAAGATTTTTTAATTTTAAAGCAGAATAGTTGCATGAGAAAATGTTAAAAATACTTAATTAACTACTATAAAGCTTTAAAAAGTTTAAAATACTATTGTTTAAAATATAATATATCTGCCCAGAGCACCTGTTGCCTCGAAGTCTCTCAACTTCTACGTAAAGATACATTTTTTTTAGATACTTTACGTTAAAAATGGTTTCAGGGAAAGTGTGCTCTCTTCTCTTATAATTTGTACCCAAATTTTGTATCCAACTCACCTGTTCGGATCGTTGGCCCATCGAACTGCAGCCCGTCGAGATCTTTAATGATTTGACCCACATCGGGAGGGGAAGAGATGGCCTCGCGGGCCCGAATCTCTCCGAGAAGTGTGATTGCCACGAGCAGGGCAACCACCCGAAATTGCTGTGATTTCTTCATTAATTCGATGGCGAAACGTGGCGGTGTGGTTGCTGTCTAACCGCTTACTGAACCGCTGGATGGGCAAACAGGTGTTTTTTATTCTCAGTTCCCATGGCCAGTTGGAGAATGCCTCTCTGTCTCTCGGCAGCGACACGCTGTCTGCCTGCTCTCCGCCCTCCATCGGTTTGTTTGTTGACTTTGTCTTGGATTCCCGGCCAAGACCCAGCCAAGATAATATTATTGACATTTTTCTCGCTTTTGAATATTTATGTAATTATTTAATTTATCTTGACTTTTTGTCGAGAAAAACTGCTTACGTATTCTTTGTATTTTTCGAGATTATATTCTTTCTTTGTAAAGTGTGTCTATATACTTTTACTCTGAATGATTTCACTCAAGGCTAATTATATTTTCAAGATGATTAAAAAGATTCATTTATATGATGATATACCTGAGTTGTATGATCATTCATTACTAACCCAAGTGCCTCAAAAAGTCAGTAGTATAACTTTTAACTCACAAATATTTTGATTTATTTATTTTAAATATTTATACAGATACAAACATTATATTTGAACCTTATGAATTGTAATCATTGTAATTGCTGTTACTACTGGTGTTATTATTATAATTATTATAGTTGTTATTATTGTAGTTATTGTAATCATAGTTGGGCCTTGCTGTTGTGTAAGTGTTGTAAGGATTGTAATTATTATTATAATTATTATTACTACTATAAGAGGGATACGCGCCATTAGACCCATAATATTGATACGAACTGGTTCCTGCGCCTAAGCCCATGGGCAGAATCACTAAGGGCTCTACAATGATGCTCGTACCACTCATTCCTCCAGATGATATGGGAATTCCAGGCCCAGCTTGTGGCATCATGGGCATCATTGGAGCCATAGGAGCCATGGGTGCCATAGGTGCCATGGGAGTCATTGGAGCCATAGGAGACATTGGTTGCATGGACTGCCCCATATACGGCGGATAGTAAGCTCGACCCGGAACTGCAGCATTCATGGGCATCGGGCCTTGAACTCCGCCCATCATCGGCATGGTTCCGGGCATTGGCATTGGCATAGGTCTAGGACCCATTGGCATTTGTCGAGCAGATCGATTTAGAGCCTGATTAGATCCCTCGGAATCGATTTCCAATTCTGCCTCCAAAATCAAAGTGCAATAAATTGAAAACAAAAATTAAGAAAAATTCTATGAACTAATGTGATAATCAACAAAGAAAGGGGTTTAATGATCTATGAGGATCCACCCGAAAAAGGTAAATTAATATTATAATTATAGGTACTGTAGTTCGGGACATAGGGACTGTAAAAAGAAGGAGATGGATTCGAAAAGGAGCGCCCGTTGTAGTTCATATACGAAGGATATCCCATTCCCATAGAAAAGTATAACTGTGGTCGGGCTTGAACCGCATACTGTGGCATAACTTGACGTGGTTGCGGCCCAGCCATATATCCTGGAGCAGGATATACAGGTGCCGGCAGAGGAACTGGCATTCCCATTGGCTGATATGGCAATTGAGGAGAACGCCTGGTTCGGTGCAAAACTGGTGAGTATAAAGAAAAAAAAATTTTTTAACATTTTCATGAAAAAAATTATTTACAAAAAAGTGCAAAAGTGTAAAAAATTTTTTAAAAGTTTCTACAAATTTATTATTTAAATACTTTCAATCACCTATATATTCTTCTATATATCTAAACAAAAATACCTAACCAGCTAGGGTCAAATACATCAAATAATTATTATTCATTGATGCAGGACTGGCTGATCTAGCCAAAGGATAACCATATTGAGAATAAGAACTTGCTCCTGTTCTGGCAGGATAACAATTGTAGTAGCAGGGCGGTGTGGGCGGCACCAATTGTGGCCTATTTGCTGCTCGAGCCTGCGGATAGGTGGGTAATCCCATTCCGGGATTGAGGCCATAGCTTGGATAATTGCAGGCATAAGGATACAAAGGACTGACTTGGCAGGGTGGACTCTGACCCGGATTGAGCCAGGGATTTGGCTGCTGGGGCTGTTGTGAGCCATCCTGCACAATGACCAGGACATTGGTCTGACGTTGTCCGGCGTGGGTGGCCAAAGGATTTGGATTGCTGAAATCAGTTAGCAGCTCAAAGTCCGTATCCTTGGGCTTCTGATTTCGGGTGGTGCTGGTGCTGGGTATGATGATGCTACTGCGGGTGTTGGCGATGGTCAGTGTGGTGTCGATGGTGAAGTCCCTGCCGGGCTGATCTGAAAGGGATCAGTTCGATTTCAATGGATATGAGCGGTGTAATAGAAATGTAATATCTAAAATAATCCACAAACCTGTTTGGCACTCTGGATATTTTCCACATAAAAGGCGTTTCATGTCTTGGGTATTATTGCAATGTACTTCGTATATAATACATCTTTGGCCCGGTTCGCACGAAATATCACCACAATCCTTGCCAAATTCTGTTTTTGTTTTGAGTTAAAATTAATTAAACAAAACTATAATCCTTTTTCAGCTTTCTTACGTTGATATCCTTGTGAAGATAATATTGTGATCAGAATTAGGATTAATCCAAAAATATTTTCCATATTTCTGTGTATTATTTGGAAACTTTAAAAATCGACTAAGCTTTCTCCATGCAGTTGATTTGATTTTATAGCAAAATATATATTAACGCTTGACAACACATTTTAATTGTTTTCATCTAAAATATAAACATCAACAGTTTAATTCAATTTAACTAATTAAATGTCATGGCTTATAAATTTTCAAAGTGAACCTAAAAACTACTTGGTTCTGGGTTAATGGAATAAAAATGATTCATTCAACGAACTCTGAACTTTGTAAAGTTCAAGGTTTATAGATACGTGCGCGTAACTGATCTATCAACTGACATTCAGAATTGATTTTTTAATCAGTTCTCGACTCTTGAGAGATTATTGAACAATTCTACCTTTTTAATTTATTATTTAACATTTGTTTACCCGCTAAAAAGTCCATTATAATCGCCCAACCAACGCGGCGTATGCTTTATACGCTTTGGGACGATTGCGGCCCGATTAGATAAACAAAAGAAACCGCAGAAGTAATACAAGGTAAGGCCGCTGCGCTGCCAATAAATAATGTGAAAGTCACTGCCATGGGGACCTCGATTCGGGCCAAGGGATTTGGGACATTGAAATTAGACCAAGAGAGGGGAAATCCACAGCTATGGCAAAGGAATTCACTGGAAAACGTGCGGCACGTGAGCAAATAGTCCGATGTCCCGGCAAATAAATTGCTGTGTGCCGGCCATAAACGATAACGCCTGGCGTTTGATAAGCTCCCTCTTATCAATATGTCCAACATGCAATAAAAAGCCAAAAAAAGAACAAAAGCGAAACGTGATTCCTGACTTTTATGGCCCAGAACAACTAAATTTAAACCACACTCCGATTGTGTAATGTTTTTATTGGTTTTAAATTAGGAAATTCGTTTTTTTAATACTAGACTCCAAGGACACCCGACACCCTAAGATCGTCCAATGGTAAGTCCTTCACCACCGCAGTAAAGTCCTCCACAGTGCAGGCATACGAGTAGCCCTTCTTAAGATCATCTTTGGTCCAACTGATCCAGGAAATTTGATCTCCTATGTCCTGGCAAAGGATGTACTCCTCTTCGATCTGCTCCAAAGTCACGTGGGGATTGTTGACACCTATGAGAACAATGCCTTTCTGGGAAGCCCGATCCTTTACCACTCGGAAGTACAACTTGGGCACTGGAATCAGGCCATTATTATTCTCATCAAAGTCAAGGTAAAGCTCCCTCTGGACACCATTCTCATCCGGAAGGGTGGACACACCCCAGGTGCCCGTATAGCAGTCCACTGTGAGGTTCTCATCTGCCACGAACTTCCTCACGCTGTCCTCGATCCTCTCCCAGTTGCCGGCATTGAAGGTCTGCCATTGAGGCGCTACATTCACGAAGAAGAAGGAGGCCTGCTGGGCGGCCCCGAATACGAAATCTGTCTTGGCGGACATGTGCCCGCGAGCCAGGTAGACATTGGAGCTGATGTTGAAGAAGGCTGAGGCATCCATGCCCAGGATCTCGGTGACTGTGATATTCTGCTGAAACTGCGTGTACAATTTGTTTACGTCCTTGCCGCCATAAAAGTCTCCAGGAATGAAGCTAGGCCTAGAGACTGATCGCTGGTACTGAGCACTTCCTGGGTAAAGGACATGGTGGACATATCGAGTCACCTCGCTCAGCTCATCGTGGCACACGTCGTAGGTCTGTAGGAAGTCATCGAAGGAAGAGGCATCTGTGGATAGCTGGAAGCCCACCTCTAGAAGGTCGGTGCCTCCGTTACAGGGACGATTGGTCCTGCGAGCTGTGTAAGTTGGCCAGGAGGTGCAGACAAACTCCTGTAGCTGGTAGTGACTGCCCAGGGCAAGGAAGCTCTGTTGTTGCCAGCACGTGGCATTCACAAAGGAGTAGCCACTGAACTGTCCAGTGAAGGATTTGATGCAATGGAGCTCCAAGGCGTCTCCGTGTTTTAGATGGACGAGTCCTTCGTGGTCAGGCTCCAAGTAGCGAGCATGACCTAGTTCACTCCTGACCACAAACAAGGGAGCCGGATCCTTGAGGTCCCCGTTCACCCGAAAGCTGCACACCTCATCGTCCACGGATCTGGTGTCCACTCCCAGCACTCCACTCGTCTCTAGCTGATCCAGAGGCAAGTCCTTCACCACTTTGATGAAGTCATCCACCGCACAGGCATAGGAATATCCTTGACGTATGTTCGTCTTATCCCAGTCCATCCAACTAAGCTCTGTTCCAATATCCTCACAGACCACGTAATCCTCCAAGGTCTCAGCAAGAGTGATGTGAGGATTGTTGGACACTACCAGGACCACTCCTTTGCGACTCTCCTGATCGATAACCAGCTTGTAGAGCAATCTGGGGACGGGCAGCTGTTGGGTTTCCACATTCAAGTAGAGAGGCGTCTGCACTCCCTGCGAATTCGGCAAAGTGGCAACATCCCAGCTGCCGGAGTAGACACTCACATTAAGCGACTCATCCGCCACGAACTGCCGCAGACTGGTCTCCACGGCCAGCCAGTTGCCTATGTTGGCGCTTCTCCACTGTGGAACAGCATTCACATAGAAGTGGGTGGCCCTCTGGGCGGAACTGTGTATGAAATCATTGCGTCCTGCCAGCTGACCCCTCGTCAAGTAGAGATCCTGAACGGTGTCGAAGTACTGACTGGCATCCAGGCCCAGGGCTGAGCTAAACGCCTCCAGCTGATTGGACTGACTGTACAGAACATTGACATCCTTGCCAGTGTAGAAGTCGCCTCTCAGGTATCCTGGCTGAGCCACGCCTCTCTGATAGGCCACATTGGACGGCGTCAGTTCATAGCGGGCATATCGAGAGATCTGCTCATCCTGATCGTAGCAGATTTCGATCTGTGTCAGAAGACCAGCCGCCACATCGAATCCAATTTGGACTAGAGCAGTGCCACCTTCGCAAGACTCTCCGATCCTTCTTGCTTCGTACGTTGGCCAACTCTGGCAGACGAATCCTCGGATGCTAGCCGTCTGACCTTCTGCCTCGTAGAGCTGATCGCCCACACAGCGAGCAGTCAGAGCCGTGAATCGATTAAAAGGACTAACCAGAGCTCCAGTGCAGTGTAAATCGATGGAAGAACCCTCTTCCACGGTGTAGACGCCGCTTTCGTCGGGCAGCAGCCAGCTTAGGGCTCCTTGGGGTGTCAACAGAGGAGCAGGATCCTTGAGACCTCCATTTATGCTAAACCTACAGGGATTATTACTGGGCTGAGGTGTGGATCCCGGAGTCACAGGAGGACTGACAGTAGTGGGCGATGGCTCTGATGTGGAAGAACTGGTTGTTGGTGTAGTTTCTGTAGTTGTCGTAGTTGATGTTGTAGATGGAGCAGTTGTGGAAGTAGAAGGCGGTTCTTCAGTGGATGTAACAGTCGTGGAAGTTGAAGATGGCTCTTGTGTGGACGTGACAGTTGTCGATGTGGAAGACGGTTCTTCTGTGGATGTTACAGTCGTTGACGATGACTCTGTACTGGGTTCTGTGGATGAACTGGATTCGGTTGTAGATTCTTCTGTCGTGGAAGTAGAAATCTCTGTGGTGGTAGAACTAGTGCTTGTACTAGGCTCTTCAGTAGTTGTAGTACTCGTAGGCTCATCCAGTCCAAGAACCCCATTCGTTTTCAGATCTTCCAGTGGCAAGTCTTTAACAACTGCCGTGAAGGCCTCGACTGTACAGGCATAGCTATAACCTAGACCCAGATTTTCCTTGTCCCAGGTCAGCCAGCTCACTTGATGTCCAATGTCTTCGCACAGGACATACTCCTTCTTGATTTCCTCGAGAGTGACGTACGGGTTGTTCACTCCAATAATGACAATGCCTTCCAGACTCGCCCTGTCGATCACCACACGGAAGTATATTTTGGGCACTGGAATCAATCCATTATTGTTCTCATCAAAGTCCAGATACAGCTCCCTCTCGATGCCATTTACATCCGGTAATGTGGACACTCCCCAGGTACCCGTATAACAATCGGTGGTAATATTCCGATCGGCTACGAACTTTCTCACACTGGTTTCCACGCTCTCCCAGTTCCCACCATTGAAGGTCTGCCACTGAGGGGCCACGTTTATGAAGAGGAAGGTGGATCTCTGGGGAGCTGCAAAGATCTGATCCGTTTTGGCAATCATGTGTCCTCGAGCCAGGATACGGTTTTCAGTGAAGTTAAAGTACGGCGAGGCATCCATGCCGAGGATCTGGCTAATGGTGATATTCTGCTGGACTTGGGTGTACTTGGTGTTCACATCCCTACCTCCATAAAAGTCCAGTTCGATGAAACTGGGCCTGGACACCCCATGCTGATAATCGTAGCTGGAAGGGTAAAGCACATGGTGCACGTATCTAGTGGCTTCCGCTTCGGCGTCATGGCAAAGCTCGTAGCTCTGCAGGAAGCCTCCGTCCTCAACCTCGAATCCCACCTGGACCAGATCGGTGCCACCATTGCAGTCCCTGCCCGTCCGCAGGGCGTTGAAAGTTGGCCAACCGGCGCAGGTGAAGTTGGCAAACGGATAGATAAGTCCGTCCACCAAAAAGTACTTATTCTGGAGGCACTGCGCCGTCACCTGGGAACGGTTTCCAAAGGGGGCTGCAAATCCCACTCCCGGACAAAACATATCCAGGAGTTCACCGTTCACTAAGCGCACAGTATCCGTGGGATCGGGCACTATGATTTCATAGGCATCGTGTCGCGAGAAAAGTGGCACAGGGTCATTGAGGTCACCGTTTACTTTGAACTCACAATCTCCACGCACCACGACACCCTCCTCGCCCTCGACCAGTTCCTGAGGCAGGATCCTTGGTAGGCGAGCTGACACTTCCCCGGCGATCAGCAGCACCAGGATACAAATCGAGCTCCGATAGCTCCACATCGCGGCGATTCCAAGCACGTATTGCGGAATATCTCACCCTTGGAGAAGCCTTTTATACGGCCATCTTATCGCTTAGATAACCCATTTTATGGCCAGTGTTGGTTATAAATATCAGCCAGTTAAGGGTTCAATACAAACGCAATCAATGCTGACGATATGGCTAAGTGCTTTTGGTAGCCACTTGAGAAAATGGTATTTAAAGTAATCTTTTTTCGTTAATTCAGACACGTAATTACGAGTGTGAACAACATGGATTTAAACAAGGTTTTTGTGGATAATATTAAATATTTTATTTACAAACCATTCTTTCATTCATTCAGGATGGCATTGAGTTTTAAGTTTTTTGTTATCTTAGTTTATTCCAGGAAAGTAGTGCTTTTTAACCAATCTTCAGTCTTATCGATTGACCATCCATGTGAAAAATACTCAACACATTTAGGGCCCCATAAACCTAATTGCGAACTACCCTCAATGAGAGTTATATTTTTATTGGATTTAAATTATGAATGTGCTAATTCAAATTCTTCAATGAACAACAAGATTGATTAAGTCTCCTAATGAACTATATTAATTAATGGGATTTGGGTTTTTATCAGCTTAAAATTTCTTGACTGGGAAATCGTTATTTTATTTCTTGATTGATAGACTCCCATTTCACTTATAATTCCAATTAATTAACTTATTTAGGAAAAACAATATTTGCAGTGGAAGGAAAATATTTGTTCATAGAGTCGGGGCGACGGCGAAATCGAATAAAATACACTCAATCAACATCAACGACAGGCGGACTGGCCACATTCATATGTTGGCCAAATCAAATAAATGTTGGGTCAACCATCGATGGCCATCTACATCCGTAGCAATCCGTAGGATACAGCCCAGCCAGACATGTCCACTGACTAATTTGCAGCACTGTTCGTGCGTGTGAATTTCGGCAATTGAATTGAATGATGTTGCCTTGCCGCTCCTCGCAATGCCTCGTATGGGCTTTGAAATCGAACAAAAAGCTGCATGTAAAACAAATCATTAGGTAATTGAATTTGGTTTTCGAAAAATACAATTTATTCGCATTCGCATTCGCAGCTGACAGCTGCTACGCACAGAAGGCCTGTCAATGAAATGCAATATTTGTGTAGACAAATGCTATGCATGTCACTCGAATTGAATGGAAATGTTGCTATCAAATTATGGCAAACAAAAAACAAGAACCATATAAAAGAATTATATATTCGAATGCTCTTAAATATAAAACACTCCTTTACATAATTGTCATGAAAGCATCATTTAACCTTAAAGGTAAACGCACATTATCATCAATGTTATTTATGCAACTTCATGTGGCATAAAGCATATTCAATAAGGACATTAAGGATAATTTGGTGTTGTTGTTGCATAATTTGAAATATGCAAATTTTGTGAGTCCTTTTTTCGGCATGAACATGCCAGCAAAGGACTCGCATTAATCAATTACATTTCATTCTGTTAGGTGCTAGTTTGGCGCATGAACGTGACAATTCAGGCATAAATCCTGATTTTCAATAATTTATGGCAACTAATGGAAAAACACATGGCGTATGCGCAATATTAGATGCGCTCACCTTGCAGCTGAAAATTGCAATTAAATAGATGGCTGAATGGGATGGGTGGGTTGGCGGCTGCCATCGCGTAGCTGCCCAAGCATCTGGCAATGTTAATTATAATTTTCCATTTACACTTCTTTTCAATTTCCTTCGACTTGGGGGAGGTGGCCGGATGGGTGCGCTTACTATACCGTGTTTCAGGGCTCAATTAAAAGTGCATTAAGCCACGCTCAGCCAGACACAAGGTTAAGAGTAAGGCAACCGGGCCAAAACCGGGCCAGATTGCTCTCGAAAGAATTTTTATTCGCCTGATTGCAGTTACTTAATGAAAGTGCATAATTCGACAAGGACCAAGTCGTTGTCATGACTTTTGTCTTATATTTCGAGGGACGGAATGGTAACCTTGGATTAGAATTTAAGCCTTTAAGTTCTTAAAAAAATAATAGAAAAAGTTCAACTTTTTTGCCCTTTTTTTTGATGGGAAACCATTTCTTGTTCGAAAGAATTTCGGAAGAGCACGCATACGCCGTGTGGGCCGCCAAAGTCGATGCGGCATTGAATAAATGAAGACGAGTGCAGGCGACGGCTATATGGCTGTATATGGTCAAAACGAAGCTGCCACTGGCAATGGCGGATGGTAGATGGCCCGTAGAGAATCGCACCACCACCATGCACCACCATCAACAAAAACAAACCACCAGGCGGCTCTCAAGTGCAAAACGCCGACTGCAAAAGACAGCGACCAGCGTGGAGAAGCGTTGAAAAAAGTGCAACCAAGGCATTTTTTAACGTATTTTTTTTTGTTGGTTCATTTTTTTTTTTGTTTTTTTGCTGCGGCTGTATTTAAATGGATATGCCTGAGATTTTTTGTTCTCTGCGGTTTTGCTCTTCACTGAACGCAAGGAAATTTTCGCAGTTTTCCTTCACGTCCTTTAAACGAAACATTTTAATTTAAATGTTGAAACGTGACAATGGCGCCGAGCCAGTGACTGAGGATATGAGGTTGTCTCATGTGTCGCGCTGTCACTCAAAATTTCACATATATGTATACCCTGTGAAAGGATAAGGGAGCTGATGTCTACGGAAGTAAAATCCCCGGACGCAAAGGAGTTCTTCGAGAAATTTAATAAATAAAATGGAGTATTTATGGAAGTAAGGAAATGTATGTTCATTGATTGAAACGCTTTACAGGCTATGGGAATATTTTACAGTGGTTTTATCATAATATTCATAAAATATAAATTAAATGCAATAATTTTATATTTTATATATTTTTTATTTAATTTACTTTTGCTACAATAAGTAGATTAAATGTATTATTAACTTTGTGATTGAAGAAATTACTTCTCATTTATTATTTAAAGCTTTATAAATGTTTTAAAATTATGTCAAGCTAATTAAAATTTTCATTATTTAATATATTTATTATTATTCTCACTGACATATCCCACATGCACGTACCAAACAATTTACGCCGTTATTTTTGGCCTCAACTGATTTAATTTTGCTGCCTGCAGGGTATTTCAGGCAGGACCTTTCAGACCGTGTCCTCACTTTCTGCCATCGGTCCCGTGTGGTCAAAACTGGCCATGTTTTTGGTCCTGTTTTTCTTGTTGTTCGAGTGGATTACCAGCAATATCCAATGGGGCTCTCACTCCAGCCGGAGGGTCCTCGTTGGCGTTCAGTTGACAAACGCGAAGGGGTTACAAAAAAAAAAATCAGAAAGGCTGTTAAATTATGCCCGTTCAAAAAGAGTTGAATGACGCTTGGGGGAAAATGGGGTATGCTATCAGGGAAGGGGTAGTTGCAAATGGAGCTGCGATTGGAGGGGATGGGGGGCAGGATGAGGGGCAGCCACTGGTTACCACAGCTCAAGTGCCAATTAATAAGTTTGCCTTTGGTATGAATGAATGGCATCCCTTCCGGGCATCCCTCGTCAACTCATCTGATTGCTGTTGAAGAGTTCGAGGCCGGTTCGGTGGGCTGGTCAGCCTTGTGTACATGAATTATTCAAAGAAAAGGATATTAAAAGCACACACACACACACACATCCACACACGCATACGGATATATGTTGCATGGTACACAAGGATACTCGCGGAGTATCCTTTTTATGTGCCGGCGTGCCCAACTCACTTGATACGGCTGGTGGAATGGAAGTCCGAGCCGGCCCTGAGTAATTGGAAGTTTTTACTGCTGCCTCGTTTGCTTCAATTTCGCGTTCTGGCTCTGACTCGGCGATTTCTTTTTTTTCTGTTTATTTTTTGCATTCCCATCCCCCTTGCCATGTTGATGAAGCAAATTTTAATGAATAATGTGCGGACACACGCGTTGGAATAAAATATTTATGGCGCCACCATTGGCACTTTAGGCAGAGTCCAAGCTTAAAGTCACCAGAGAATCCGGAGATACATGATTGGGAAGTCCACTGAGGCATAAGCATGTAATTGATTATTAATTTATAGTAAATATATGTTTAATTTTTACTTTGGGTTAATCCACTTTTAATAATCTATTTTTCAATTTTTAACCAAAGCTATGGATAAGTACAGAACATACATTTTTTGGAAATAAAGAAGTCCTATAAAAATAATACTCAATAAATTATCCATTGTTATTTCTTGGTAATTCAATTCATTACAAGTCTCTTCTTGATAATTCGTTTGCATTCACCATTCTGGGCCAACAGCTCCCTTTTGTTCTCCTCTTGCAGGATAAGAGATTCTTAAGAATTTCTTCTTTTTTTTTTACTCGCCTCTTTTTACATTTCAATTAGCATATCGGTAGAGAAAAGTGCCTGAACAAAAATGTATATATATCTCTATATAGAGAAGCCAAAAAATAATAATAAATAATATGGTCGAAAGTCGGTGAACAATACACGAGTACAAAGTAATATCAGAATTTTCTCGAGCGCATTGTGTTGCCATTGTTTCGTTGACTGTTGTCTGTTTTTCTTTCACTTCAGCTGAGCTTGTTTCACTTTCCGGCTTTGCCTCTAGGTCCTGGTTGCTGGATTCTGTTTCTCTTCCAGGACCTTATCCCTGGTTCTGGCTCTCATCGTGGCCATGGTCCTGGTCCTGGTGCTGGTCCTGGGCAACATTGTCTGTCTGTTGATTTTCAGTTCGGCATGTTCCACTGCACTTGCACTTGTTGTTCCCGGTTGTTGCTGTTGCAGTTGTTATCTGCTGTTTCAGCCCTCCCTCCAGCGTTTAATTCAATGTAAACGTGCTAAAGACCGTTCTGGCCTGGGAAACAACAACTGTTTTAAATTGTAGCAAACAAGGGGCGATAGTGTTGCATCCTCTGTCCAGCGAGCTCGAGTGGAAACAGAGCAATAGTTACAGTAACAATCATCCTTGGTTGCAATGTCATTATTAACATGCATCATGCCTGATCGAAACTGACAAGTACCATATCGAATTTCA